CATTTAACAATGTGGTGAAGGTAGGAAAATCATCCGTTTCATTTCAAAACTGAATCAGACTAGGCTCTACTCTACCAAAAACTTCCCAGCTTCAATGTGATGAAGTCAACTATGTGCTATGATGGCCCTTTCACAAAGAGTAACTACTTGCTTTACTTAATAAAAATATAAAAGGGATAAAGCTGCATAATGATTCCCATGTCAGATATGTTTCTTGAAAGCTGAAAGCTTAAGAGATTCTTCAAGGGATGGTTGAGATTCATCTGCTGATGTTTACAACTTCGGGGGCTTAGCTGGCAAAACAAGAAATTAAGGAAAAATTCTAAGGAACTTTAGCAAGATTCAGATTGACAACCACAAGACAACATGTATTCAATTCCTCAGTGAAAAGATGGGGTGGAGGAACCAAACCTGTTTTAAGATTTCAGTATTCCCCAGTGAATGCTTCACTGGGAATCTTCTGCCACTTTCAAAGTAATTTTTTTGTCATTTTCATAGCCATCTTTCTGTTTTCCCTTTTTTCTCCTCTCTCCACTTCTACTGAATCTCATCTAGGACAAACTTTTCAAAGCTCCAATTCACAGTTAACAACACAGTTAATGACATATGGGATAATAATACTGGCTGCAAGGGCTTTTAATTGTGTACTGTTTTACTGACTTTTGTCTTTTTAATGGATTTGTTTTAAATGATTTTAACTGTATGGACAGTTTAATTGCATTTTGCATAAATGAAGATATTGTTATTGTTATTTATTGCTGACATGGTGGTAGAAGCAGAAGTCTCCAGACAAATAATGTTGAGATAAGACTGGTAAGAACAGATTAACAAGGGGGGAGAATAGAAACCTATTGGGGACACTATTCTTGAAATACCAGTGCCAATATACAATTACAGGGTGAATTGGTCATATCTAGATCCCTTAGATATGAATGGAATATGTATGTTTTCTGCTAATGACATCACGTATACCTAGACATTGATTTAGCTCTTAAAATGGATAATAAGATTACTTGCTATGATTTTCAGTTAGGCCATTCAAGTCAAAAGAGCAAAAGTAAGATCCATATATTAAAATAGGTGTGTATTGTTGTTGTTGTGCACTTTCAAGTCTTTTCTGACTTCCAGTGATCCTATCATAGGGTTTTCTTTGCAAGATTTGTCCAGAAGGAGGCTTTCCCTTGTTCTGGAGCTGAGAGAGTGTGATTAGACAAGCTCCCAGGTGCAGGCATGAGCAAACTTTCTAACGGGGGGGGGGGGGCACATGGTTGGCCGGAGTAGGGCGGGTGGGCTGAGAGGGAGGGGGTTCTCCCCAGTCCCCTCCCTGCCCTTTCCTCCCCTTCCTCTTCTCTTTCAGAGGCAGAAAGTAAAGGAAAGACAGGAAACATCTGGATCCCAAAAGGATTGGCCTTCATCAGGATGAGATGGTAGAAGGGAGAGAAAACGTATATTCATTAGACCCCATATTGCCTACTGATATATAATCCTAGAATCCTATGGCTGGAAGAAATCCCCAAGGGCCATCCAATCCAACCCCCTACCATGCAAGAAGGCATACCAAAAGCACTACCAATAGACAGCCTCTGCTGAAAAGCCTCCAGAGAAGGAGACTCCACAATACTCTCAGGCAGCCTATGCCACTCTCCAGGAAATTCTTCCTAATCTTTTCAGTCAAATCTCTTTCCCTGCCATTTGAAACCATTGCTCCCTTGTGCCCTGATCTCTAGAGCAGCAGAAAGTCAGTTTTCCCTCTCCTCCTCCTCCTCAATAGGAAACCCTTTAAAATCTTGAAACATGGTTCTCATGTTCCCTCTATGCCTTCTCTTCTCCCAGCTAAACATCCCCCAGGAGAAAAGGAGGAAGGAAAAAGAGAAGGAAGGAAGGAAGGAAGGGAATGATGGAAAGGAAGGAAAGGAAGAAGTGAAGGGTGGAATGGAGAGAGGGAAGGGAGAGAGAGAAGAGAGAAGGAAGGAAAGACAAAAGTAGAGGAGAGAGGGATGGGAGAAGAACAAGAAAGGGAAAGAAGAGAAAGAAAGAAAAGAAGAAGGGGAAAGTGTAATCGGGAAGCAAAGGAAGAAGAGAGAAGGCCAAGATGTATGAGAGCAAAGGAGGATGGAAGGAGCCGCAAAGATAAAGAAGGGAAAAGGAAGGAAGGAAGGAAGGAAGGAAGGAAGGAAGGAAGGAAGGAAGGAAGGAAGGAAGGAAGGAGAGGGGGGAGGAAGAAGGACAAGAGAAGGAAGGAAGGAGGGAGGGAGGGAGGGAGGGAGGAAGGGAAGGAAGGAAGGAAGGAAGGAAGGAAGGAAGGAAGGAAGGAAGGAAGGAGGAAAGAGGGAAGGAATGAAGGACAAAAGGGTGGATGGGAAGGAGAAAGAGCGAGGTAAAGAAGGAAGGGAAGCATGGAAGGAGGAAGTAAAGAGAGAAGGAAGGATATGATGGTAAGAGAGAGGAGGGCCTGAGAAAAGAGCCCAAGGGGTCGCATTTGGCCTCTAGGCGTGGGTTTGCCCATGCCCGCCCCAGTGGATTTCCATGGCTGAGCAGGAATTCAAACCCTGGTCTCCAGAGTTAATCCCACACTCAAACCAGTGTACCACATTGGTTGTGTGACAGGCAATACTACATTGAAGAAATATAGAAATGGTTAAAGAATCCTAAGATAGATTTCTATACCTGCTTAACAAAAGAATGCAAATATCAAACGTTTATTTTTTTTAAAAAAAAAATGTAAACATTCCTAGTAGGAAAGAAAAATCTCATTTTATGCCTTTATGTGTTCTAATCAGAGTGAGGGTTTTTTAATTCTGAACACAGCTGTCTGCTTTACTGTCTCTCCAATGACGCCAGATGCCCGGTTCATCAAGGAAATGCAGGAAAACAATGATTTGAAAGCAATTAGAAGCACCGAGGCTCATATTAAAATGTGATAACACCATCCTAGTGGGAATTCCAGGCACCGCTGCATTTCTGACATTTCTGTGCTGCCAGAGATGAACATGTGTTGGAAGCAGTCTACCACCACCGCCCCCGCCCCAAACGTCAGAGAGTGGATATCATGCTGGAATTTCATTTCTGAAACCATTGAAAGCAATTAAGCCAATTTGGTTTTTTGGAGGTTCTTTGCCTCTTGACAGTTTCATCTTTTATGCGCACACCCTACCTATCTACATTAATTCTTCAATTAAAAATGATATGTATTCACTTTGATCCAGATATTGTTGTGAAGCTATAGCAAATATGTAGAAACATATTCTATCTGGGGGAGGGCAAAGAACATCACTCCGATTAGCATGCGTCACATGTTACTCCTTCCCATATAGAAGCTTGCATAGACACAGCAGAGTATTCTCGGCCTTCTGTCATTTTTAATTATTTCTTTGTGCCACAGCATGCCTGCTTCTAGACTACTGATAACAATTGTTGAAGCAGTCAGGTTCCTACACAGTGATATTTACCACCTTATTTTCAGGCAATGAGTACTTTCTGCAAAAATACTATGTACAATGAAAACATTGAATCATTTCAGCATCTGGAAAACACAATGCCGATTCCTGGCAAATGTGGTGTTGTCTATTCTCCTGCCCCCCTCCCCCCAATGTGCAATCAGTTTTCCATTTTGGCAGCTAATCACTTAATCTGGTGATTATAATCTTTCTTTCTTTTGAAAGACTGCCCTCTAATTTGTACTGTGATTTTTGTATATTTAAATCAGGCAAAAAAAAGTCAAGATAAACCCCAAAAAGGCTTTTGTGCGACCCTTGAAACCCACTCCAATACCTGTGATATTTCCTAATATTAAAAAATCCAACATTCCACTTCTGGTTTGGAAGAAATTGTCATCTGTGGGGCACCAGAAGAGCCCAAAATGGGACAGGTGTACCTCCAAATCCTCTATGGCTGCTTGCTTCTAATTAAATTGTTGTCTCTTGACCTTAGAAAAGAAAGAATTCTGTGCTGTGGAGTGAGTAGGCTGGCAAAGAAGTGACACCTATACACCCAATAGAAAAACTATACAAGTTAATAAAAAGTGCTTTTCTTTTGGCTCTAGTGCAGATGTTCTCAACTGATCCTACAGATGTCCAGGACTTCCAGAATTCCTGACAACTGGACATGTTGGCTGGAGTTTGGGGGCCTGGAACTCATAAACATCTGGTAGACCAAATGTTGATAACCGTTGATTGCTAGAAGAAGTCAGAACTGCTTGTAGCAATTGTTTCAGACTACTAACTTTCCTAGGCTAGTTTACAAATCTGATGTACTACTTCTATAGCAGGGCCCTCTGGTGGCACAGTGGGTTAAACCATTGAGTTGCTGAACTTGCTGACCGAAAGGTTGGCGGTTCAAATCCAGGGAGTGGGGTAAGCTCCCGCTGTTAGGCCCAGCTTCTGCCAACCTAGCAGTTTGAAAACGTGCAAATGTGAGTAGATCAATAGATACCACTTCTGTGGAAAGGTAACGGCACTCCATGGTAACAGCACTCCATGCAGTCATGCTGGCCATATGACCTTGGAGATGTCTATGGACAATGCCAGCTCTTCAGCTTAGAAATGGAGATGAACACCACCCCCAGAGTCAGACATGACTAGATTTAATGTCAGGGGAAACCATTACCTTTACTGGGTTAATGGTTTCCCCTGACATTTACCATGGCCATATAGCCCGAAAAAACTACAACAACCCAGTGATTCCGGCCATGAAAGCCTTCGACAATACATTACCTTTATCTTTACTTCTGTAGCCTTTACATTTGGTTTTCTGTCTCTGTGTGTGTGCCTTCAAGTCATTTGTTGACTTATGGAAAACCCACAAATTTCATCGGGGGTTTTAGGCAAGGAAAACTCAGAGGTGGTTTTGTTAAGTTCCTTCCTCTTAAACAGCCCTGCAGCCCCTGGAATTTGCTGGCAGTCTTCCATCCAAGTACTAACCAGAATGCACCCTGTTTAGCTTCTAGTTTCCTATACCAATATAATCCTTTTGGCTGCTTGGAAGTTTAAAGATACACTCACCTCCAGGCAGGAATTCCCAATGGTACCTGAAAGAGAGTAAATAAGACAGCCTTAGTACTAATTAACGATGACCAAATTAACTGTTGCTCTTCAAATACCGATTGACAAGTGAAGGAAACACCATATAAACAGGTCATGCTCACTGATATTAAGCAAGATGTTTCAATTTCCTTCAATTACACTATTATATTTAGTTATTTTGAGAGTATACAAATGAGGCATTTTTTAGATTTGTATTCTAGATTGTTATCTACCCCTTTCTTTTAGTTTTTTTTTTAATTGTGGCCCTCTTAATGTTGTCACTATTCTAAAGTCTACTTATCATGTCCAAAGATTCTGGGAATTGCTGTTTAAAATCATCACAGGCCATAAATTCCTCAGTAGATATGCAGATGTTGATTTATGAGTTTCTGGGCTCTAATCCAGGTAATAGGCACAACAAGTGTGAAAAGAACTCCAGTTTTTGTCCTGAACTGAGCTGTTTCTGAAAGCTGAATGTGTGTCTAAACATCACTTTAGCTTGAACAAGATTAAGTTTAATTTCCAGCAACTATAACACCTTTTCTTGTTTTTCAGAGCTTGTGCATCTTGCCCAACCTGCATTGCTAATGCAGAAACAAGAGTGCACATTGCATTTTGCAGGAAAATTCAACCAGAACAATCAATAGTTGACTTTATTCATTTTTGTCTCATCCTGTCAGCTCCATGCACGACAATGCTAGACCACAAAAGAAAAAGCCAAATTGTATCTGAAGGTGATAATCAATGATGTGCTTGAGCTTTCCATGACGAAGAAAAAATAGTCAGAGAGAGAAATTGAGAGAGAAACAGAAAGAGAGAGAGCAGTCTTTCACTGTGGTTCCCACATTTTGAAAAACCCTTTTAAGACTTCAATACTAAGCCATAAAAAAGGAAGGGTGCACAATATCCAAGTTGTATTTTCATGAGAAAATGTGATGGAGCCCATGAAGCCTAGTGTGGAATATAGGAAACTAAAATATTTACCAATTTCATTGTCAAGTGTTACTGTTATGTTAAGTCTATACTGCCTAGGGTTGATGGGACTTGTAATCCAACAACTTCTAAAGACCCATGGTTTTTCAGCTGTGGTTTCTACAGAACTAAGTTGCACTTTGGGTATGCATATAATCAAACAAATTAGAGCAATGCATGGGTATATGGTCCCTATCAGATATCTTTCATTTTTCCTAACTGAAGACTGAATTTTGTAGGAGTGATATCTATGCATATGTGCCTTCATGTCACCTGTTGACTAAAGGCAACTCTATAAATAGCAGCTTTTCTTAGCTAAGGAATATTACGATGCTGTTTTGCCAGTTCCTTCCTCTAAAATATAGATCTGGTGCCTTTAGGGCAGTGTTTCTCAACCTTCCTAATGCCACGGCCCCTTAATAAAGTTCCTCATGTTGTGGTCACCCGCAACCATAACATTATTTTTGTTGTTACTTCATAACTGTAATTTTGCTACTGTTATGAATTGTAATGTATATATCTGATTTCATTCACTGGACCAAATTTGCTACAAATACCCAATATGTTCAAATCTGAATACTGGTGGGCTTGGGAGGGATTGATTCTGTCATTTGGGAGTTGTAGTTGCTGGGCTTTATAGTTCACCTACAGCCAAAGAGCATTCTAAACTTCCCCAACGATGGAATTGAACCAAACTTGGCACACAGAACTCTCATGACCAACAGAAAACATGGAAGGTTTTGATGGGCATTAACCTTGAGTTTTGGAGTTGTAGTTGACCTACATCCAGAGAGCACTGTGGACTCTAACAATGAGGGATCTGGACCAAACTTGGTACAAATACTCAATATGCCCAAATGTGAACACTGATGGAGTTTAGAGGAAATAGATATTTGGGAGTTGTAGTAGTTGGGATTTACAGTTCACCTACAATCAATGAGCATTATGAATCCTACCAACAATAGAATTGGGCCAAACTTCCCAGACAGAACCCCCATGACCAACAGAAAATACTGTGTTTTCTTATGGCCTTTCATGACCCTTATAATAATAATAATAATAATAATAATACTTTATTTGTACCTCGCTACAATCTCCCCAAGGGACTCGGTGCGGCTTACATGAGGTCGAGCCCACAATACAACAATAGAAACAATAGCAACAGTAATACAAACAATAAATAAAACTCATAAACAGAAAATAGCAATAAACATTAACAATAACACAATGATGTTTAAAAACCTATGGCAGGGCCAAATGTACTAAAATTTTAAAAAATAATGCTGGGCGTGACCAGGTGACATAAACAAGAGAGGGATAGAGCGTGCAGACCCTTCTGAAATCCCCTCGTGACCCCCAGGAGTCCCAACCCCCAGGTTGAGAAACACTGCTTTAGGGTATTTAGGGAACATACCACAATGTTAAAATCTATGCATTGGATCTATTGAAACCAGTGGTAGTTAAACTAATTAACATTTTTTTCCAGTGGGTCTACTGGACATAGTCTCTCTGACACATTCTACTAGCTCCATGTTTTGCTCTAGCTTGTTACACCAATTATCTCCATGACAAACTAGCTATGGTTTTGAGTATGTTCAGTAACATACTCAAATGAATGCTTAAAGACCAGGTTTTGAACCTGGTCTGATTATGGTGGAGGCTGACTCAACAGTTCTAAGCAAACATCCCTTATTTGTCATCTATAAAGGATAAACTATTTTTCTTGCTGTCTTTTTTAGATCTCTTTCCCTCACATGCTTGCTAGGGTTGCTTCCTCTATTTTTAAAGACAAGAATGTCTTTCCTCTCATATTCAATGATGATTCTTCTGAGTCACTGAATTATTTGGTGAATTCTTGCCCTTTCTCCTTGAGAGAGGCACCTAATCTCTCCTGAAGATGTCTTCTTGGTAACATTTATTGCTCTAGGTGCCAAAAATGATTTTCTGTCACTTTCCATTTCAGTTTGACCACAAGGATTGGTATTTCTGTCCCTAACCTCTGTCATTTCTAATACAGTACACTAGAAGGTTTTTCCAAAGTAAATTTGAGTTCCAGTGTACATTTTAGTACCAAGACATATCCTTCCATAGGACACAATCATTGCCTAAGACAGGGAGTTGTGTCCAGGCATCACTATGGAGAACAGGTGATATTCATGTCATTGTTTACAAATAACAAATATACCTACCTGTTCAAAAGAGTTAATCAGCTTATCATAACCTGTCCCATACCTTCTCTGTTTAAAATTAATTTCCTGGCCGTCTTTGCTTTAACCCTTTCCCCTTCATCAGCACTCCTCAACTGATGTTAAAGGCATTTAAGGGAACTTTTCTTTTTAAAAAATGGTAGGCCAAACTAGACATGATATGATTAGTATGGTCTCTCCTTACGCGGCTGATTTTTTAAAACAGCATGAATCAGATCAGGGCAAAGGGTTGGAAGATTTTTTTAAGCATTTACCTCCACCATGGCTCCAACCAAAGTTATTTATTTATTTACTATACTTGTATACTGCCTTTCTCAGCCTTATCGGCGACTCAAGGCAGTTTTCAGGTCAGTACACATAACAAAAAATACAAACTGAACATTAGAACAGTATAAAACCACAATAGAAGCAATAAAAACAATAAAAACTAGCATAATTATCATCAGCGTCTCCTAGTTAAATAATGTTGTCCAAGTACCATTGTCGAGTGATTCCATTTCCTATGATAGTTACTCTGCATTTGTAAATGCTTGCTCATATAACCATGTTAGATTCCTATTTGCGTAATTAGTTCAAAGGAAATCTAATTAGTCAAAACAAAGTACGTTGGAGTATTGGCAAACTATTTTGCAAACTAGAGAAGTCTTCCAAAATCTGAGCTGCCAGCTGAAAATATAGCTCATTTGAGGGCCTTGGTTTCTGTACAAAAGAATTTATTTAAAATTATTTTTAGACTGCCTTTAAAACTCTCTCAGGGCAGCACAGAAGATTAAAAACACAAGACAAAACTAATTAAGTAAAGATGCAGTAAAAGATTTTTTTAAAAAACACATTAAGATAAAATTGCCTCAATCCAGAGTATTAAGGTATCTCAGCTTTAAAAGTTTGCTTCTCTGGTAGCAAGTTGAGTAACAGATGGCTAACTTCATATTTACAGAGTAGAATAATAATGACTTAAAATGTCTATGGCCGAGTCTTCAAAGCCTGACAATATGAATTAAGCTATAAAATGGATTAGCTGTTCTTTATTTGAAATATCAAAAGCGGTGTGAAGCATCTTAAATGTTTTTACTGTCAGCATGCATTTCAAAATACGTTCTTAATTCAAATATTACAATACCTAACCTGGTTTTCTTGGCTTAAAGTGCAGCGTGTGTTATAACAAAGTTGATGCTACATATTGAGGTGGTTGTATCGTGGCCTAAGGATAAAACATTATGTAGATGCAGAGTGGAGGAGGAGAGGAAAGTATTCTACTGCCTCATAGGTCACTGATTCCCAACCTTTTTTTGACCAGGGACCACTTTTACCAGGGACCACTCTCCAATGTTAGTACCAAAAGGGTTATGAATAATTTTTGGTCAACTTTAGATTCGGTTTAGTTATTTAGGGTGCTTATTCAGAAAATTGCATTGGATAGGCCACATCAGCTCTAGTTTCTGATATAGAACATATGCCATCCAATAGTCGCCACCTGCTCACCCACAAAAAACCACAGAGAAACAGAGAATGCTTCTGGAACATGTCATACAGCCAGGAAAACTCACAGCAACCCATATTTAATAAGCCTCGGCTCTATAAGAGGGTTTTGCAAGACCAGTCATTCTCATTGCAATTATGTAGTAACAGTAAGGCTCACACCAGAAGCGACTTCTGACATGACAAAAAAAAAGTGAGGCTTCAGACCATACTTTAGTTCTTGCGGACCACTGGTGGTCCATGGACCACAGGTTGGGAACTATTGCGGTAGAGTGAAGCCATTGTTTTACAGTTTGGGGAGAGCAGTCAGTGTACTACTGAGCGGGTGGGAGTGCATTGTCCCTAAG